TATTCTGTAGTTGTTGCTATTTGTTTTCATGCTGAGGATTGAACCCAGGGCCTTGGAATATTAGGCAGACATTCCACCACTGAGCTACATCTGCAGGCCAGTTAGTAGTTTATTTTATTTTATTTTATTTTATTTTATTTTATTTTATGAAAAGATCTTGCTTAGTTGTCCAGGCTGGCCTCCAACTTTTAATCCTCAAGCCTCTTTCTCTCAAGTAAGTGGGATAATTTCCAGTTAAGAGTTGTTTTTTGAAGATAGCCATCCATAAACTGTTGGAGTAGCCTGTAAGATATTCTCATGGATCATTTCTATGTAAGGCTAGCCAGTGCCCTGTAGCTACCACAAACTGTATCAATTATTTCCTGTTAAGGAACTTCAGGTGACACAGGCAGAGATATGAATGGCCACAAGGTCCAGATATGAGAGAAGAGGGCCGTGAGAAGAGACTGTAGAAGCCATGAGGGAAACCAAAGGGTGAAGGAGGGACACTGGAGAGAGGTAGCTGGGGAATGAGACAGGTCAAGAGAGGCAGGAGGAATAGGGCAGAGGCCTCTTCCGTCACCATGGATGGCTGCTTATGATGGCCCGTGAGGTCTGTAGGCTGGGACTGGAGTTCCAGTTTCTGGCAGGCTCAATTCAAAGTTCATTCAAATTCTTGCAGTTCTTTTTATCCTCTGTACTATAAATTTCCATTAGGTACAGCCTAATAGCATTAAATCTTGAGATCTGAAACAGTTGGATGAATAGATCTAATGTTGTTATACACAACTAAGTTAGGCAGTCAGACAGGACTAGGGCCTTAAGAGAGGCAATACAGAAGATAAAAACACATTACAACTGTAGCCAGAGGCACATCCGTTGGAGGCCAAGCCTCAAGATAACGACCCAGGCCTACATGCCTCCCCAAGGGATAAGGTAAGTGGTAACACCTGGTCCAATAAAGTCTAGATAGACATCCGTCAGCTCGGTGGGCGACCAAGACCCATGGACTCATCTCTTTCTGAGACGTTCTCTGTTCTTTCCATGCACACATGCTGGTGACTTGCTTCCCAATTGGATCAATGTTGTATCTATACAGCTATACTCATAATCTTATTAGTTATCAAAGCTTTAACCCATGTTGTACCCACCTCATGACTTTCTCAATAAAACTTCTGTTAAATGGGTTTACTGGCAATCCACTCAGGCCCTCTTATCTCTCAGGAACTGTGCCTCTCCCACTCAATAAATAATTCCTACTCTTAACCTCTGTTGTTCCTTGGAATTCATTCTTCAATTTTAGGGAACACCAACTTGGCATATCTAACAGGTTAGAGTTTATAATATTTCCCCTATATCATTAATGACTCTATTAATATAGAGGTTTGGGACCTTGGGTAAGTCAGTTTATCTCCATGAACTCTTTGTTTGTTTTCCCTACATATCGAAGAATAATGGTCCCAGATATGTCCTAGTACCCAGAACCTGAGAGCATGTGGTCTTCCATGGAAAAAGGTATTTTGTGGATGTGACTGATGGTCCTTGAGGTGGGTTTTCTATTATCTATGTAGTCCAGTCCAATCACATGGATTGTAAGAGCAGAGAGAATGTTTCCCAGCCATGGTCCAGAGGAGGAGAATCAGAGAGCCAATATTATTGGCTGAGAAGATGGAGGCCCGTGACCATGAACCAAGGAATGTGGTAGCTTCTGGAAGCTGGAAAAGTTGAGGAAATAGATTCTCCTCACTTCTGGAAGAGGAAAATAGACCCCCAACATCCTAACTTTAGCCCAGCTGTGTTGGACTTCCAAGCTACAGAGCTTTAAGGAAATAAATTTGTGTTGTTTTTGTTTTAAGCTATTCAGTTTCTGGTAATGACATAGAAGCAGTAGAAAACTGAAACATTATATTAAGTCATGCATATATATATATATATATATATATATATATATTTGTGTGTGTATCTAAAACAATATATATTTCAATGCAACATTAGCTATAAAAATTTTTAAATCCAGTTTCAACAACAAGCATAAGTTACTTATGAAATACAAGATAATGTAGGTATTAAAGAACTAGTGCTATATACTGAAATAAAATAGACACCCTCCTCCACTGTGCCACCCAGCCATGGCATCCTCCCAGCCATCTGGGGCTGATGTGTCCCCGTCCATATCTTGCCTCCTGTTGGAAGCAACGCTGGTCTCAACACCGCGACAAGGGAAATACAAGAGATGACTTCAGGTCATGCGGGCTGCCCTTAGTTTCCTTTTCATCTCTCAAGTACATGCGTGAACTTGCCTATATAGGGTATCAGTGTATTTTTACATTTTTAATAGATGCGCTTTCCTCCCCTTTTTGTTTATGGATGAATCATGCCCCTGTATAATTATGGGGCACACTGCAATTCTGATACAGGGCCACCCTGTGAGATGATGGAGTCGAACTAACTAATATGCACCTCCTTGACTCAATATCATTTATTTTTCTGGTCTAACTGCAACTTCCTGCCCTTAGACCAAGGTCTCCTCACTCTCCCTGCTCTTCTTTCCCTGGAGACCTCCCTTCTCCTCCTGCTTCTGTAGTCCAGGGGCCTTAGCGTCCACACATAACATGTGGCTTTTGTCTTTCTGGGCCTGGGCTATGTATCTCACTTAGCACAATGTCCTCCAGCTTCATCCATGTGGTTTAATATTTTTAAAAAATATTTCTTTCTCTTTTCAGGATGAATGATGTTCCACTGTATACCTGTAGCACAGTTCATGGAAGCGTAGGGAAGTTCCACACCTTGACTATTAGAAATAATGCTGCCATAAACAGGAGTGCAAGATACTGATTTCAAATTCTAAAGACAGATAGATTAAAGATAGATATCTAAAAGTGAGATTGAAGAATCTATTTGTACTTTTAAAAATGGTTTCTTTGATAAATAATACATCTCACCATTTTTTTAGTATACTTTGTGTAGTTCCGAGGTCATCCATGCAATGCATATTTTGTAAAGGCTTTATTAAACTTGGCACAGTGCATTAACAGATATCAAGCTGGAGTCTAAACTTTTAAGATATTTAAGAGGCCGGATTAGAGACCTGGTGGCCCATACAAGGCTTGCCAACTTTCAAATGGCTCACAGCCTTCACGGCCCATTTACAGTCTATCCACTGTCAATCAGGGAGGGATATTAACTGTCAGGAATTACCCACACCGATGAGAAGCACAACAAATGGAGCCATGGGGCTCATTAGAAGAGGCTTGTGAGCCACTTAAACTTAATAACTTGCCTTTGGTGAGTTAAAAATGCAGAGTATGCTCGCAAATACCAGTTCCCACTTGAGCAAGAATTTCTAGGTCCTTATCACAGCCAACCATCTTCCGGACTTGGAATGACCCTAGATGTAATTTGGCATTTGGACAGGACAATGGGTACTTTGCATGACTTGGTTAGAGAGTAATGCAAAGCTGTTTCCCATTAGGTCACTTTGATCTATCCTGAGCCAAATCCCTGGGCCTGTCCCCTGCTAAACGACCCCCCTCCCCAGAGGAATGAAGGAAATAGAGCAGATATTTCAGGAATAGAGATAGCAGTACTTTCATCACGCCTTTCTTTGTAAATATTTGTCGAACACTGTAAATGTGCTTGCCAGTATTCATGCATATAAGAATGACCTAGGAGACCTAGGAGAAATCCAGGCCCCCGGTTCAGGAGAGGGACTGGGGGCTCCTCCATTTGGAAGCAGCCTCACAGGTGGTTCTGATGAGGGAACTCCAAGGACGATGTTGGAAAATGCTTAGTTTGACCCCCAAATGAAAAAGCATCAGCATGTTGCCCTCAAGAGCCTCGAAGTCCAGGGGAGAGAGCCCTTCACTGCGATGTTATGGGATAAACACCTGCAGAAGTCCTGGTGACCGAGAGAAGGGAGGAAAGGAACTGCAGCCTTGAAAGACATCATCAGATGTGGCAGGGAGGCAGACTTTACAGCATCACAGTGATGAGCAGTCACGAAAGACAAGGGAACCCTGAGCAGGGCAGAGAGATGAGAAGGTGCAAGGGCCAGGTAGGACCAGTAGCAGACAGCGAGGATCTCCATTCTCCGGGCCACTTCAGCTTTATTCTGTAGACAGCAGGGTCAGTGGAGATCTTTAGTTAGGATACGATGGGGTGAATTTGAAATGTGCCATTGGAAATATCTCATTTTGGGGGGACAGTCGATTACCATCTCCCCAGGACTTACTGTCTTAGTCCTCGCAGAGCGCTATAACCAACAGCGGGTGTCCACTAAACAGCATAAACTTAAAGTTCATACTTCTGAGACTGGAAGTTCCAGATCTAGGCACCAACAGATTCTTAGATGGTGCCTTCAGGCTGTGTCCTGAAAAGCTTGAAGGGGCAAACCAGCTCCCTTAACCGTTGTTTTTTTTTTTTTTTTTTTTTTCTTTTTCTTTTTTATAAAGTTACTAATTCCAGCCATGAGGGTGGAGCTCTCATGATCTAAGCCACCTGTTAAGATGGCTGCTCTGGAGGTTAAGTTTCAGCAGGTGACCTTTGGAGGGACACAAGCACATGGGCCATTGCAACTGCCATGTGTTCCTCTAAATACTGGACATTAGGACAGGCCTGTCACAACCAGGAATCAGAAAAACCCAAGCATCAAAAGTCTAAATTAAGGTAATGACCAGGGTGTACCTAGAAGGGACTGATTGGGTCCATAAAGTTTGAGATTTTAATAACTTTAAAATGAACAGAATTTGGTGCCTGGTTAGATTTAAGAGCACTGTGTACAGGGGTGGGAACTGCTTTAGGATTTGGAGACTAATTATATACATGGAGGACAAGGGCACAGAAAGAAAGCTTGACCCTGGTCTCAAGAGGATAAGCGCCCCAGCAGATGTGGCAGAGAGGGATCCCAACAACCCCGATAGGGGTCGGTGTTCTGGAACGAGGAGGAGGAGGTGGACCAAGGCTGAATCATTTCCTCTGAAGAAAAAACAGGGGCATGAGAGGAAGGAAGGGACCAAACTTCTAATGCAGCAGAAAACATGGTCACTCTTAAGGTTTCATCATTGAGATTACCAAGACGACATCAGCAAGACAAGGTCAGAGGACTGCTGGGGACAGGGATGGGACATCAGGACAGAAGGAATGGAGTGAGGACAGAGGATGGAAGGGTTGGTGTGGAGCTGCAGGGTGGACTGTACTCTTAGGACACTGGGTGCAGGAGGAAGAGGAGGGGGGCAGCTGGAACCCAGATGAGCTGAGGCTCCCCTGGAATGTGGACACATAACTTTGGTTAAAGTGGGAGAAAAAGTTGTGCTTAAAATAAGAGGAGGAGCAAGTAGGATTCCCTTTTCAAACTGCTATTGTCTTTGAGTGAAATCATTATATAAAAACTAAAGGGACTACACAGTAACCAGGGTTAGTTTTTTGTTTTGTTTTGTTTTTGTCTTTTTGAAACAGGGTTTCACTATGTAGCTCAGGCTGCACTTAAACTCAGTTTGTAGCCCAGGCTGGCCTCAAACTCACAGCAATTCTCCTGCCTCTGCCTCCTGGGTGCTGGGATTACAGGTGTGTACCAACATACTCGTCCAGTGCTGGGATTTTAACTCCTGAGGATCAGTAAAAGAAAATCTTCAATTTAAAAATGTGAATCTGTCGATATGGGCTAGTGATGCCAGGCATGGTGGCACACACCTGTAATCCCAGCACTCAGCAGGCTGAGGCAGGAGGGGTCAGCAAGTATAAGGCCAGCCTGGGTTACACAGTCAGTTCAAGACCAGTCTGAACTACATATAAGACCTTGTTTCAAAAACAAAAACAAAATGGGATAGCGGTAGGAGCCAGATGGAGGAACAGAGCAATAAAGATTCAGTCACTGTGAAGAGAAAAGTGGGTATAAATAATGACAGTGAGGTGGCCATTCCTTGTGACTGGGGTCATGGTCAAGGACAGCACATATTTGTAGGTAAGGAGAGGAGTCATGTCTTGATTTGTTTAAGTGATGTGATCATGTAGGCATGAAGGGGTAAATTCACTTTATCCAAAGGTGAGACAACATTGGTATCAGCTGCGAATCACTACTCGGAGGTAACAGGTTGGATGTAAATGTTTACTCCTAAATATTTAGAAAATGAACTTTTCGGTTGTTGGAAGCAGCAATGCTTTCTTTCCTTGCAGCATGGTGAATAAGACATTTTCTTCAGGTTACTGTTTTGGGTGCCATTTGAAGGGCATTTTCCGAGTCCCCGCAGCGATGAAGCCTAGTGGTCTCAGTCTCAGGTTCAAGGGCAAGAGTGCACAGGGGCGGTGGTCACATGGATTTGTGCAAAGCTCTGGAGAAGGCCTGCATCCCACAGAGCTGGGACTTTCTTTGGGGAAAGTAGGGTGGCGAGGGACTTGAAAGAGAGCTGATGATCAGCTGCTACTTAAACTTGACTTGAAATCTTAATTTCTCACAAAATAAATGTGTTACATGTAGATTTTTAAATTCTAGAAAAATTAACACTGATGGATTTTTCTTAATTAGTTTTTGGCAAGTCAAAATTTAGCAAGAAAATGTAGGTGATTTTCTTTTAAAAATTAAAAATTAAATATGTAGGTGTTCAGAAATAATGAACTTAGATTTTTTTTGAATAGATGTACATATCAAAAAACAGATTTTCATTTCCAGTACTTAATTTGTATATAAATGTAATTATGTTCATTGTGTGTATATTATACAATAAGCACTGTAAAAATATTAAGGGACACTAATAATACTTAAATGCAAATGTTTATATCTGATTTCTTTTTTATCATGTTAAATACAGTATTTTTTTTTTTTTTTTGAGACAGGGTCTCGCTATGTAGTCCAGGCTGGCCATGAATTCACTATGTAGCCCAGGCAGGCTCTGAAGTTACTGAGATCCTCCTGCTTCAGCCTCCCAAGTGCTAGGACTACAGTTGTGGACCACCATATCTGGTAATGTTGGTGTTTTTAAAAAACAACAAACTAATAAAAATAAACAAACAAAAGAGGAGGGTTTGGTGAACAGGATATATATCATGAAGAAATCTGTGCTTGCCAAATGCTTGAATGAAAAGGATGCTTCAAGAAATCAGAGTGTCTTAAAAGTTGCTATTGATTGCTTTAAGAACTGTTTTCTTTCTTTTTTTTGCTCTTCCAAGTACTCATATTTCTTCAAAGAGCTACTCTGTAACCTGGAAGAATGGCTTCAGCTTTGCAAATGTCATTTTCCACCTAAGAGCACACAGTTTCAACAATGGTAGCTATGACTGTCACTGTGGGTGAGGTGGTAATGCTTCGGCTGACATTCAGAGGATGGGTGAATAAGCAGAGAGCAGGTTGGAAGGGTCAGGGAGATTCTGCAGGTACCATGAGGGATCCTTGATGCCCTCTCACATTAAGGGCTCTCATCTCAGGCAAACATCAGGCAAGGGCTGAGCTCACGGCTTCAGAGAGAGAGAAAACCTTGATGTCTTCTTCTTCCTGCCTGTTGAAGAAGCCCTGGTGGGTAGCGAGGTCCTTGCAGAGCAGGAGGATCGCGGTTGAGGTTCTTAGGAGAGAATTTGAAGGAAACGTATTGGCCTTTGTTTACTTTCTCTAGTGAGTCCAGGTAGCTGTGCAGAGAAAGTGGGTTCTTCTGCCCAAAGCTGAAAATGATCAAGGTAAACAAACACTGAGGGGAGCAAGAGCAAGGAAATCAGCGTTGTATGTGCTGCTGAAAGTGCAGATGACGGGTTCCGGCAATGTCAGGGCTGGAGGCTCCAGAACTCTGCTGATGGACTGAGATTCTGCTGATGGAGAGGCAAAAGAATCAGGGGCTCGGTTGTAGAAGAAAGAAAAGGAGATCACAAGGGACAATTTAATAGAAGAGGAACATGAAACTATTCTTCCACGTCTTCTTTCTTAGCCTGTTTCCCAGTACTACGATAAAATGCTTGAGCTTGGGTAATTTATGAAGAACAAAAGTTTATTGGCTCATGGATCTGAAACGGGGAAGCCCAAGGATGTGGCTCCAGCATTTGGTGAGGAGAGGCTTTGTGGTGCATCATGTGGTGAGACAGAGAGAGTGTTCTGGCCCGGATCTTGCTATCATTAGATGGAGTCTCCAGGAAGGGATGGGACCTCACTCACTCTACCCACAGGGCAGATTGGAGGACTGTTGACTTATGTCACAGAAAAGCATTTCAGGAAGCATCAGAGAAAGACTTATTAGGCAGAAAGTACTGTACACTCAGAGAGGAAGTGGGAGAACTGCAAATGAGATGCATTCTGGTCTGGGCTAGGAGTTTCTATGTGTGCTTGGGGTGTTCTCAAAATACCTAGGATGTGGGTTAGGTTAGAGAGCAAGCCATTTGCATGTGTGAAGATTTAGAGATATGCTGTCCACTTAGCAGGGCTGTCTGCAGGAGGAAAATTACAGGTTTAATTTGAAGGTTTAAATCACAGGCTCAATTTATAGTTTTATTGTATATTTAAGACTCTCGGGAATCCTTGGAATGAGGTTCCTAGGGGGGAAGGGAGACATTTAATTTTATCCTGAAGCTTCAATTTTGGTCAAAATATAATTTTAAAAGTATGATTTTCTTTATCTCTTTTTGACCTATCCTATATCATCTCTTCCTCATCTTAGGGGCCTCACCCTCATGACCTCATCACAACCTAATCACTTCCCAAAGGCTCCACCTCCAAACACCATGACATATGAATTGTAGATTAAGTTTCCCACAGGTGAATTTCCAGTGACACCATAACACTGTTAGACTGTAACCTCTCGGGGAAAGAGCTGGTTCTCATTCAGTTTTATTCATGTATCATTGTGCATGTTTAATAGTGTTTTTAAAATCAGAGTGAACCAGTTACTAAGAACTGTTATCTTAGTAGGTAGCTTTCAAATAAACTGCCATATTCTTGAGAGTGTGCCTCTTGTCTTACAGACTGATGTATCAAGAATGTCCAGGAAATCTCAGGAGAAGCTTTAGGTACATGGATATTGAGTGGATAAATAAACTGGATCATTTGAAGTTCTGATGCCCTAACATCAGGCAGCTAAAGTGAGAAAAAAAGCCACATATGTGAAAATCACAAGGCCAACTCCCATTCCCAAGAAGGGACTGAGGCGTGCTTTAAAATACCAGAGACTTTTGCTCTTAAAGCTAGCCAAACCAACTAGAGCTACTGTACTATATTCATTTAGATTCTTTAGTGGGCAGCTGATTCCCCATGGCTAATACTGTCCACAGCCATGGAAGGAAACAAGTCAAAGAAATGGAACTGCAAATACACACGTATACCTTGGCTACAGATTTCTTAGCTTCTTAAATCTGAAATTGTCCTCATGTCTGCCTCATGACGATTGCTCTTTAGACCAAACATCCATGACCGATTCAAAGCAGTTGTCTGGGGTTTGGCTACTGCTTAGCAGGTACTTATAAAGCATTCTGTGACATTAATCAAGATTCCAGCTAAAGAAGATGCCACCAAGCTAATTAAAGCCATCTAGAAGACTGCGTAAATAAGGAGGAAAATGTAAACACTGTCTTTGCTGAATAAAGTGATTAGAAATTAAGTTGTTTGTTTTTTTGCCATACCATCTGTGGCTTGTCAAAAATGTTGACATGTACCATAATCTGCCACTAATCAAACAGGGAAAAGAAAAGCAAACAGACAAAGAAAAAAATATGTAAGTTATAAGTGAAAAAACAGACAAAGAAACCCTGCATCTTCCAAATGGGAAAAATAATTAACATATTTTTCTAAAATAATTTTCAAATAAAAATTTTAGCTACTCATTTAGCTACTTAAAAGATAAACTCACTCTCCATTCTCAAAAATTCAGCAGTAGGAGAACCAGGCAGCGAAAGTGAGAAAAAAAAGCCACATATGTGAAAAACAGAATTAGAGATAATAAAGTTGTAAAACTAAAGTACCTGATAAAATACAAGCCCGATTTGAGCTTTTTCAGTGTGCCCAGACCATCAAGATTTACAGAAAAATTTGATGGCTTTAATATTCAATTATATTACAAAATGGTAAGTTGTATTTTCTAAAATCTGTACATTTATATTGGATATCAAAGTTAAGTGGTTGATAAAGAAAATAATTCCTTGCCTGGTAATATAACGGAAAAATGCTTTTATTACATAAAACATGTACTTTCTGGACTTTTCTTCTATCTCCATCAATTTAGTATGAAGACTTTGCCTTGCAAAATAGAAATAGAAATTTTCTACCTGGAATCCAGAAGAGAGTCTAATACATAGCATATATTCAGGCTTGGTTTACGAGGGGGAGAGGAAGAGAGAAAGAATAAACCATAGTGTCTTGATATTGTCAATTTTCCTTGCAGATGAACCATTTGGAGGGTAATTGACATAGATGTTCTTGTTTTTGATGTATTTACAAGGTCCAACCGTGCAAAGTGTGGAGTCAAGTGTATGTTTCTTTATTTGTTTGAAGTGCCACCTTTTCATGGGTGGAATATTCTTTAGCAAGACTCATATCAGTGTACCTAGCAGAAAGATGTGGATCTGAATTTCAGCAAAATCTTTCAGGAAACTAACCAAGCAACACAAGAGGGGCTGTTTTGTGGCTCAATGATAAGAGTGTATGCTTAGCATGCACAAGACTTGAGTACAATCCCCTCACACACACACACACACACACACACACACACACACACACATCCCAAGGATACTACACACATGAGGTGCAGGTGACGCAGTGGACTTAGAGAGCCCTTTCCTTGTCTTGGTGACAGAGCAGCAGGAGCCGAAGCACAAGACACGATGGAGTAATTTGTTGTGGATAAATTGCAAAGTGTCTTCAGCATATCACTGAGCACTGGTTGTGGAAACCTTTCTCTCCTTTCTGTCCACTCTGTGCCCAAGCCATTTCTGAGACAGCAGCAAGGAATGAAAAATCAGGAGGACAAGGATAAAAAGCAAACATTTCAGCTGATAATAGGAAAAATTTGCCACTAAAAATACAGCAAACACTTCCATAGTACTTGCTTGATTCACGCCAGACACTAAATCATTTACGTTTCACAACAACTCTCTTCTGATTGTTCCCCTTTTGCAGATGAGGGTGCTTAGGCACAGAAAGACAAAGTGTTTAAAAGTTAGAGTTCAAGTCCTGATGGCTCAACTCAAAACCTGTCCACCGCCGTCTGCTATTGAAAACTACAGAAGACAACAAAAGCTTGGGGGCTGAGTGACTTCCAAATTCCCTTTCACACACACAAACCTAAGCTTCTGTACCACAGCACGAACAGGAAAGCCTCCATTTGTTACTGAGCCCTGGCATTGGTCTGCTACAGTGGACAAGCTCAGTGAGTACTCAGCATAGGAAAGAACATGTCAATCTATAGTAGAACCCATCTAGAAACTTCTAGAACAAATTGAACTCTTAAAAATGCAAAATCTCAATTCATTTGGCTTTTATGTACCCTATTATTTTCCTCAGTGATGCCTATACCACTAAGACAAAGACATTTCAACAGAATTTCATTGCACTATTAATTTAAAGATCACTCAGCTTTCTGGAAAAAATGAATGGGCCCATAAGATGTGGACTTCTTATCCCTAAATTGCAAAATGTCTTCAGCGTATCAGAAGGTCTGACAGAGGGGAAAAAAAAAAGATGAAGAAAGAGGCCCAGACAGGAAATGAACAGCATCACCTCACAGCAACCGGAAGGAAAACCCCACACAAACATACACCACTCACATCCTACATTCGCGGTTGCCCAGTACAGAAATGCTCACAGCTGCCTTTAGATGCAAGCCCAGTTGCTGCAGTGACATGGAAGCATAACAGTACACAAGGCCTAGCTGTCACACCCTGTGTGCCCACCCAGAGAGAGGACACGAAGGCCAGGCCGGGAGCATGGCACGGCCATCCGCAGTGGCTCTGCTCTGGGTGAGTTCTCAGCCACTTGCTGTGGCCTGCGTTGGGGGAAGGGGTGGAGTCACTCAGACCTTCACTTCCTGACTTGGTGTTCAACATTTGGAGATAACACCCTTCTGCTGGGAAAGAGAGGGTTCCACATACCCTGAGGCGGGAATGTGTGGCTCCAGGTCTCGTTGGAGTGGACCTGCAGGTGCTGGTTTTAATGCAACTTAAAACTCCGTTTGATTTCTATGTGTTCAGTCTTCTGGGCCAGGGCTTCCTGGTGTGTGAGTACAAGGTTCCTCCTCCCTTGCTGCCGTCCACACAGACCTTACCTGGGCGGGGCTAAGCTTTCACTTCTCTTAAATCTTCTTAGTGCTCTACAGGGTGGATGAGAATCACTTAGGTGGGTATCACTTGCAGTGCTTCTGGGGATGGCTCAGGGGAGACAAGCTGCAGTGGCCGTGAACCTGGCCCTGGGGGTGGAGCGCAGCTCTGCGGAGATCCCTAGTTAGCATCATCTCAGAGAGACTTGGGGAAAATGGCATCGTGTTCTACCTGTCCACGCTGAGCGACCCTGACGGCTCCATCCTTACCTTCCTCTACATTATTCGTTGGTTTCACTCATTCATTCATTCACATCTCTTTCAAAAGGTTTGATGCAACTTTTTTTGTTTGTTTTGCCAAAATTATTTCAAAATGAAGAACGCAGACAGTGATAAGAGGGGAAACCCAAAGCCATTCTGAAAGGGTTATGTGTCATTTGAAGCTGTGCGGGGGTTGGGGGCCAGTGTTTTCCCTGCATTGTGAAGGGACTGAGAAGGTGCTCTATGCTTTTTAGTTCCTGCCTGGAGGATCCCCGCTTCCCTGAATTCCCAGCACTGAGTATGAAAGGCAATTGTTCTTGACAGAACTCTGGGATCCAGCCAAACGGTTTACCTCCTTGTGTCTGTTTCCTTGCAAGCTCCATTCTCAAGGACATTCAAGCTCTAAGAACAGGGAAAGGTGAGCCATGAAAAGGGAAAAATATGAAGTCAGTTTTTAATTAGAGTTCCACAGTTTCTTGTTAATGATAATTTAACCATGATCTAGAGAGTACATACCCTTCTAGTAACCGCTGTCTAAGTTGAAACTTATAGAAGAGGGAGCAAACACATTGCTCTGACCCCTCAAAGCTTATAGTCCAGGAGAAAAGAAGACATTAATATAGGGAAGAAAGAACTGCTTTCTCCCATTTTCTAGGTTCTTTGGCTACTCAGTCTATGTATTAAAATGACACAAAACAGATTAACCAGAAAAAAGAAAGTTTAACTGCACGGATTTCAGAGGCGGCCCAATGATTGAGGCTCACGTACCACCGTGAACTGCAGAAAGGAATGTGATTGGCTCCTTTGACTGTGCTGAAGGTGAATTATGGGAAGGTGTAAGGAAAAGCCTGGTTATGCCCAGATGGGGACAGGAGCCCAGTGAAGGTTTGTTAAGAGGTTTTATGTGGGTGTCTGCTATTGACCAGTCTAATAATTTAGCTATCCTTCTCCTCCTGCAGAGAGGGATAGCTTTACACATGAGAATATCCTTCCCAGATGCAAACTGGCAACCATTGGAGCCGTATCAATGGTTTGTCACACTAATCAACTCAAAATGGCAAATACATTAGAGGAATATTTTAGGCTAGTATGTTCTTCCTGAACTCATATTCTGGGGTGTTGTGTCCTGAATTCCACTGATAATTACACAAATGTGTTGGAGACCAGAGTCACAGAGGTCCCCTAGGAAGACAGAGATGAGCACTGAAAGGGGTGCAGAGGTTCACCAGGCAATGGTCTGCCTGGTATTCCAGGCAGAGGGAACAGCCAGACCAAACCATCTAGCACAATCGGGCCAGGATGGTCAACAGGAAGAGCAGAGTGACTCAAGATGGTTCTAGAAAGAGGAAATACTCATCTGGAATGACACACACTGCTGCGTATTCATTCTCCTAGTGGAGAAGCTATTACCCAATCTGCCTTTTTAACAAATTCCTTTTTACTATGACGTGAAGAATTGATCAGGGGGAACCATGTCTATAGACAGGGAGACCAGAGGAAGGCTGATATAGACAGCTAAACAAGTGAATCTGTAGGAATGCAAAGGGGATCGTGGCAATGGGGACAACAGTGGACAAATCGAAGAGTCAAATAGAAGGAAAGTCAAGAGGACATGGAGCAGACAGGAAAGGAAAGTGAGGGTGGTCAAAGTGAGGGGTGATCCCCATTTTCCTGGCTGGGGTGAACACATGCATGGTGGTATTGTCTGCCCATCACAGGTGAGTCCAGTGCTGAAATTAATGGTTCCGAGAGTCTGACAGATGTCAGTCAGGCAGTCGACAGGTTGGAATATAGTTTAGAGCAAAGGTCTGAGAATCCTTGGTATAGTGATGGTAATGAAAGCCCTAAGTATATGCAAGAGGCTTTGAGACAGTATCAAATAGGAAAACGGGATGATGTAAGACTGAGCCTTGAGCAATGTTTAAATAGAGGCAGAGGACAATGAATTCTTAGGTTTCTCAAAAAGTTCAATGATTACCACTTGACCCAGTGATTCCAGTCTTAGTAACAGCCAATCCTCTATATCCATGGTTTCATACCTGCTGATTCAACCAACCATGGATCAATGCAATGGGAACAGCATCCATACTGAACAATACAAACCTTTTCTTCTAACTGTTTGCTAAACCACATAGTATAACAACTATTCAAATAGCATGTGCATTGTACTATGTACTATAAGAAATCTAGAAATGATTTCAGGAATGTGGGAGGGTGTCTGAGCATTCTCTGCAAATACCACACTATTTTGTATAAGGGACTTGATCATCCATTGATTTGACTCCTAACATAAGTCCTCCATGAATACTAAGGAACAACTGTGTATCCAAAGGAATTGAAAACAGGGACTCAAATAGATTAACAAATTATGAAGATCCATACAATAAACTATCACTCAGTTATTAGAAATAGTCAAGTACTGACACACATTATTAAATGAACTGGGAAGACACTGTACTAAGTGAAAGAAGCTAGTCATAAAAATTCATGTAATCCAGCAGTCCCCAACCATTTTGGCACTAGGGACCAGTTTCATGGAAGACAACATTTTACAGATGGTGGAAGAAGGAATGGTTTGGAGATAATTCAAACAATTATATTTTTTGTGCTCTTTATTTCTATTATTATTACAATTATTAAATAAGTATACAATTCACCATAAGGCATGAGCCCTGAGCTTGTTTTCCTGCAAATAAATAGTCCTGTCTTGGGGCCATGAGAGATAGTGACACTCGAAGCATGGTGCTTATGTCCAGTCTCCTCCATAATCTCATTTTTGTTGCAAACACTGCAGAAAACTACAAATATAGGATGTTAGATATGGAAGGATGATTTTCAGTGCTTTTGTGGAAATCTCAAGATATTCTGCTTTGACTTTAAGCCAAAATTTAGAAGATTTGAAGTTGTCGCAAACACACTGTGAAGACCACCATCATTTGCAGTCTCAAGCAATTGACGAAGTGGAATCAGCTAGATTGTTCACAAATGGATGGTAGATCCATTCCTTCCCAGTTTGAGGGTTCTTTGTGGTTGGGAAGTGATGATCAAATCCTCTTGAAAGCTGGGATAAGTGATCATGCCACGCTGGGAAAAAGAAGCCCCTGGCTGTTTATCTTTCAAAGTCTGCTAATGTTTGCAACATATCAAAATGCCTAATGTTCACTTGTCACTCCTGTAATTACAGTTTATGAATTACAGTTTATCTGCCAGCTTGAACACAGTTATTGTTCTTCCTTGAAATGACAGATTTAGTTCGTTGAGCAGGTTGAATATGTTTTGTTTTTTTTTTTTTTTTTTTTTTTGGTCTTTTTCCTTTTTATCGGTACCGGGGATCGAACTCACGACTGCCTGCTTGCAAGGCAGGCGCTTATGCTGCTGAGCTAAATCCCCAGCCCCGAGCAGGTTGAATATGTTACACAAGTAAATTTTTTGACCCATTCTATGTCAGTGAAATATGCTGCCAGTGGTGACTGTTTATCTAAAAGAAATCTCTGGAGTAAGTCTTGTAACTCAAAATCTTCCATTACAAAGCCATCGTGCTTCTGTGTGGAAGAGCTATGTCCATCTCCTCCCAGACCTGTGCAAATAGACATGAGTTAGGAGCATATTTCTCTAACACAGTTGATAATTTTAATCACTTCCTGCAAAATGTTAAGTTCAGGTATATTTTTGGCTAGCTAGCACATATTTGTGGATGATACAGTACATGTAATTACATTCCTAAGCAACCTCTTTGACATAATGAATCAAACTAGAAAGCCATCTGGTTGTGGCAGCTACTCTGTCGATGCATATACTGACATGAAATTCAGTTTTCCTGGTGTGGAATCATTCAAAGACTTAAATAATTCTGCAGCTGTGGTATAGGGTGGCAACAAAACTGTGCACAGCATAGCTCAGGCACATCTGCCTGAAAAGTATACCGTATAAGACAATCACTACTGTTTTGTTCTCAACATGGGTAGACTTTTCAACCTGGATTGTATACCAAGGCAACTCTGATCCTAACAACTGTACCTCGGTATCCTCTCTGTTCTACCAGTTCATCTAGCTTTGGTGCCAGTCAAAAGAAGAACACCCATCATCTTTTGAAAGTGACAAATGTCCTTAGCATCAGGCAGGACCAACTCAACAGTAAAAGACTTCTTAGCTTTAGCAATGTGATTAGCCAAGAAAGGTGCTCTCAGGGCAGACATATTTTGATATAGTGGACCCTTTAATAACTGCTTCTGTTTTTTGTGTTCATATTTTCTTCTCTTTTGAAGGCTTTTAATGCAGGATGTTTCGTCTACATGTGGTGAAGGAGGTTTGAACCTTTCATAGCTTTATCAGATATCCAGCTGTCACATATTGCACAAAGTGTGTGTGGAAAATGTGAACCACCTGTTGCAATTAACCCATAATTTATTTTTAAATCTTTTTTTTAAAGTGAAAAAATACTAC